TGTACTTCAATAATTTCTTAAACAGGATTTCTTCGATGTTTATTGTGTTACTTNGTGGATGACAATGCCAACAATAATTAATGAGAGCATTTATATAATGAATCGGAAAATAATTCGTGATACTGAAAGACGTATGCTTTTGCAAGTTGGTACTGTTCGGAGTCGATTGCAAATGTTTGAACATAAAACTTCTCAATCATTTGCACTAACTGTGAAAGTATCAAGCACAATCAAAAGTTTCAAAACAGCTCAATATACCAGTTAGCATGGAATCCGTCATACTGGGAGATCTATTGTGCGTTTTCATTTGAATTCGTATAACTTTAAAAGTTCCGTCACTCTTCAGCAATTTTCCCGTCCTGGAAGTGCATAAAAATTAGAAGATTCATGGCGATAATTCTTGTTTTCCTAAATGTCATAAATTTTCCCTGAACGCCATAAATTTCGTTTTTCGAAAGCAATCTGAACAATTAAACTCACCGCAAACTGTACTTCAATAATTTCTTAAACAGGATTTCTTCGATGTTTATTGTGTTACTTGCCGTGTGACGACGCATTGTAAATTTATCATAAATAACAAATTGGGAAGGGAAACTCGAAATCGAGAGATCATAAATGATTCGAATGAAAATTTATGACTTGACTATTTCGACATAAAACAGACAACCTGATAAAAATATCGAAAGTGCACCATCCATCTTATATATCACAAGCAGAAAAGTCGGTGCCATTGAATCATATTTTATGTCATTTTGATGGGATAACATCGGATGTCAATAACCTAAAAGTGCTTTTTACAATAGCTCAATGACGCCACGAAACCAGAACGACTGCAATCGTGAACAATATGAAACACCATAACGGGTGTTTAGTTGCCTATAGACTGACCTCACATGACACCCAATCATCACCCTGTTATGTCATGCATATCGTTTACTTTTGTGTGCTCGGAAACATTGCTCCGTTAAAATTTTTTATGGGCCAATAAGTCGATTACCGATGTTACATTAACCCGAATCATCACGAAATATTCTCAGCTATTTTTATATCACAATGATTAGGCTTGCTTTGTGTTTTGAGGTCATCATCGAGTCTGCGGATGAAAAAATAGGGCATAAAAAGGCCGCAGTTAGCAAATCGTATTGTCAGTTGAAGATTTTTTTCGCACGGATCATTTTCCCGGACATTTAACTGGACATTTTCCCGGACACTTCCTGGACATAAGTATTTCTGGGCATTTAACTTCAAAACTGTTCTAACAATGGCATCGAAGAAATGGCGAAAGTGATTTTGCATCACTTGGTGATGGAGATCACCTCTGAATTTCTTTTACTCCGATGACCTTCAGAAAGTGCTTGTCAAAATTATTGACCCACTTTTCTTCCAGTAGAAAGACTTCTTTCGAATGAAAAATTGAGCGAAAGCGATGATCATCGACTGATCAGGGCACATATTGTATTCGATACTTTTCATGAGTAAATGATGAGCTGAATGATTCATTGGTCAGTTTTCTTGTCTACTTTCGATTTGACAACATAGTTCGAGATCATTTGAAAGAATTCCCAAATGGACGTTGAATTGGACTGAGCATTTAGATGGAATCAAACCTCTGCGGTACTCAACTTACACATTCTAACCATTCCCGAACACTGATAATCACCCACTGCTGACGGTTTCAATTATTCCTATATTGTGGTCAGCATTAACCTCGATCATATAAACTAAACAAATACAAGTAAAGAATATGACTGCATTTTGACAATTCCTCCATATTTTGAGTTCACATTAACAAATTTTCAAACACTCTTGAGAGTTTTCGTGTCCTGATATGATCACCAAACCGTGAAATTAGAGGAATGTTGATAGAATATTCCGGGCTGTTCAGATGCTATCCTGGCATTACCTCTGCAGTCTATGTATAATGCAACAAATACCATTAGCATTCGTTTCTCGCAGTGAGTCTTTCGTGAATTCGACGTTTCGTCTCACAATAACATGTGAAAAAAGCCGCAACAATCTGTTTCAAATTTATTCATATTTTTGACCAGTCAAATACATCCATGAATATATACGCCCCGTTCTCCTTATATATCTGATATACTATGAGAATACATTAATCAGTTGCCATTTCTACAGATGAACTTCGAGACTCATATTCAGCTGGCACGAACCAATGATTCAAAATGTCCCGAATACTTGAATCTAAACCAACGAGCAATACGAATAAACCTAAAACAATAAAGAAAGAATTCGAGAGAATGCGTATCACAATCGAGCACTTCGACTCCTGCCTCTTCATCATATCCGGTACAAATATAATCGTATCGATAAAGGCTGGCAAAACAAACGCAAGAATCATTCCACAAACGGTGCCAACCAACGGCACTATATGCCACAGATCCGGTACAGCAATTGCGACTATCACTGAAATTGTTATGAGTTGAAATGAGAGCCATTTCAGATCACTTTGTAAATCATGAATCTTTCTTCGTCCATCACAATCTCATGATTGCATTTGTAATCCGATAGTTACAACTAATATTGATGATTCCAACATATTACGATTTAATTGATGACAAAAATTGACAGATTCAATTCAGTTTTATGCAAAATTGAAAATTTCACTGGAAGCATGAAAATTCTCATTCTTTTCCGGCACTCCAAAATTCCATCTCATTCTCTTTATTACTGTTTTTGCTAATGTTTTGTTCACATCTATTCTTTTGAGATGATTCCAGTCATCTCTTCCGTTCGCTCTGCAATCCGTTCTGATCCTATTGGTGTTTGTTAGCGATCAACATACCATCGTGGAAAGATCACTGAGTGAATATACTTACTTGATAAGAAAACAAGAAATCCTCTGAATACATATTGCATGTAGTTAGCTGCAGAAGGCGTCCATTTGCTCTCAGCTAACTTCTCATTAATCGTTGGCCAAAGCGTCTCAACAATGACGTATTGTTGTAGCACGAAACCAACATAGACAATCAATGTTATCAATATCTTCACAGCCGTCAGAATCCTTAATTTCCTCAGTCAAATAAAATTATTTCATTACCGCTAGTGATAGCGCCGGACTCTCCTCTTCGTAATCGTGTCTCAATGAGGTTTTGACTCAAACGAATTGTATATTTCTCCACCTTTTTGTCTACTACCGTAAAAACTTCAGTTACCTCTATTCTAAGTTCAGATGACAGATCGCGCTGAATAACTGCCTGTTTCACTCATCCTACTGATTAGATAATTTTTTCAGTGAACATCTTAATCGCTCGCTATTATATCGTGGATGGAACGATGATAGCTAAGAAGATGAAACTGACAAAATGAGCACATAAACTCACATTGTAGGTGGTAAATTCAGCGTGATACTACCTTTCACGTTCTCTCCAAAAGTGATATAGCCGAAAAATCCGAATGCTGAATTAACAGCCACCACCAAGCACATACCAACTGAAAGCACACCCGTTAAACCGATCATATCGTCCGGTTTAGTCAGCTTATTCTCCAATGGTAGAACCTGCAATGCAGATGACTACATTCACACTTTGGAAATCATCTCAGCTAGGCTTTCAATAATCATCTGACAATGAGTACATGGTTGAAGTTTTTGCCTGCGTGATTTCTGCCCAGTTGGAATTCAAGCAAATTCGAATTGTCCTAATGAATGATGGCTACCTCCATTCAGCCTTCTCAAGTATCTCGCAAATGTTTGGCTCTTATATTTTCGTATGACTTGGGCAAGTGATCATATCGTTCGAACCCATTTATTTTCTATTCATTCTTGAGAATCACATCTGACTCTGTTCATAATGCTTAACATTATGACCGCTTAAAGATGGGCTCTTTCTGAGTCCCTCTCCCTAGAAATCATTGGGCGATATGGGAGAGTAGCCCAAAACCTCTATGCTTGCCAGATCAATAATCCAAGTTCAAATTTCATGAAGACAGATAATTTCAAACGCTATTATCGTTAGCTGTATACTGTTAATGATAGATGATTCCCAACGCTATTATCGTTAGCTGCGCAGAAAGAAGAATGCCAAGCAACGCTATTATCGTTAGCTGCGCGGAAAGAAGAATGCCAATGAAGGACAGAATGTGATATTAGTGATATTGGTGATAACAGAGAGGCATAAACTCGTAATCAGTTTGACTTGCTGATTAAATGAATGCTTGACATATGAATGCTATCTTTAAGTGGTCATAATGCTTGACATATGAAAGCTACTCACCAGAGCTTGTCCTTCAAATGTGTACAATATCGAGCCAGCTGCTAAAGCCATTCCTCGAAAACTGGTTATCCAAGGCAAGTCTGTTTTGAAGTGATCAGCCGTAATGAGTTCCTCAAAGAAATCAAATCCGTTAGTTATAGACATCAGGTTCCGTTAATCCATAAAATCTCTTAATTTACTGAGGTTCCGATTCATTTACCCAAATTCGCAGAAAAAATTTGTTCACATTTATCAAGCATCATTTCGAATTCAAAAGAGTGAATTTGTGAAAGAGGTAGAAACCTTGAAGATAAGTGCAAATGAGATAAGCATTAAGATGTTGCCAACAACACTAAGATAAACAATCGTCTTCATTGTCTTCGTACAATTGATCGCAACCAAGGGAATAAATATGAGGAGCATATAGGTGGTTACTGAAAAATCGGTGTTCAAATCCAAATGTTCCAAAACCTGAAAGGATTTTCAGAAATTTTCTGAAGAAAGTCATGTTCAATAAATGTGTTTGCTTGATTGGAGTTGAGTCGGAGATAATAAACAGTAAATATCCCAAGATGCATTCAAATCCCAGGTGATAGGTTAGGATAAAACTTCATAAATCATAATGATGTTAAATTTTCGGTTCATCAATTTGCTTTTTCAATTGTTAAGAATTAATCAATCGAAGAGTTCACTGCAATCTTGTTCTGCATTTGGATCAGTGGTGCCTACCCATTCGATGGCCTGGTAGGCCGTCATTAATCCCCCTCCCACCTGCTACAATAATTCACCATTTAACATTGACCGTTATGTCAGAACTAACTTCCAGACTCCTTTCGTCCTCCCCTGATACTCGTAATTACCCAAAAATGGGTAATTACCCATCCCCTATGGGGACCTTTATTGTATACAATGATAAAAGTTTATATCGCCTACTTGTTGAAGATGCATAGCGATGAATACATATGAAACACAACATATACCCATTTGTAGCAATACAAGCATAGCGTTTGTGAATGTTCTATAATGAGAGAGGATCAAACCTGCGATTAGACAAGGATCAAATGCACACTAAAAATTCTCGATTATGAATAAATCATTTGCAATTTGTTCGAAATTTAGAGTGAATTCACTGATGATTCCTAACTGCTTACCTGAGTGTTGCTTTATACGGCCGTAAACAATAAAAAGAATCCGCACATGCCTCATAAGCAAGATCGCCATAGCTCAGTTCAGAATAACCCTTCCTGAAAAAAATCTGCATTCGCTTTTTTCGGTTAACCACAGAAATTTGAAGGATTTATTCAGCTGCAGAATTAAACTTCAATTTTTTCGTTCAACAAAAGAGCGAACGATATCTAATTTTTTCGTGGTTTTTAAGCATTCGTTGGATTTCAGCAACGACCAATAGTGCATCGCTTTGAAATGCGCAAATTATGGAATATGATACTGGTGCGCATTTCGTACGATTCATCGTCGTTTGAACGCAATCGCCATTCACTCAACGAAAATGTTTGGCGAATTTATGAAGTCAGTGTAAACAAAACGCTTCATCGTCGAACGAATTCAAAACGTACGATTCATCGTCGAACGAAATATTAAACGTGATGAAGGCAGAGAACAAAACTTACGACGCACATAAATATTGTGATGCGTGAACAAGCTTCAACATACAGATATTATTGAGAAAACCGAACACGAAAACCATCACAAAAGCGGTCTGAAAAATCGAAATGTTTTGTGAAATTTCAATGGTTTATTAAGGAATTCAACCATTGCTTCCAGAAATCCTTCGCATATGACATCTGCTCCAAATAGGCCAGCAAATTCTTTTCTTTACATACTCACATTCAAGGATTGATCTAGACAGGTTAAGGATTGATCAAGGAAATAGCGAAAAAACCAACTAGTAAACCAGCTTGTTTGAACGCAAGAGGAATCGACAAGCATCCTGGACCAAGCATTCCTTTCACAAAACTCAATAGAGCACCAGTGCCACTGAAATATGAATAGCGATAACGGAATTTTACGGCAACAGTTCTGCGTGAATCTCGAAATTTGATAAGTTTCAGTGATTTCAAGTACAGTGACAAGCAGCGGCATCGATGGCAACGATGGTGATAACCACATTGATGTCTTAAACCCAGTGAATTGACGCTAGCCAAGATATTCATATTGGTATGGCCAAATGAACCAGCCACGCTCTCAACCACTATTGCTGCTGTAAACACGTATAACAATCCATAGCAGCAGTTCTAGAACTTACGTTATTCCATTTTTGCGTCCTTCGACAGCGTCTGATCCCGCGTTTGATCGAACCGAAGCCGTCGATTCTGAGGGCTTCATTGATGCGACATCAACAATGGGATCGAGCTGACCATCGTACTCAGTGAATACCATCTGCAGATGTCACAGTGTCCTTATGAATGCATTACGAAAACATTGAATGAATCCATCATCAGGTAACATTTTATTGGTCGCTTAACACGACTTCATTTATAGCTTTGTGTAAGTGGGAATGTGAGATAAATGAAAGCAGACATATCGGATATGTCAGAATAACATATTAATTATGGTTCCATTCATGAGCTCAATAAAATCTCAAATGGAAGAGAAATTTTTAGGTACTACTGTTGTTGTTGATCATTAAGGTGATCTAGTTCAAGAACATCTTTTGACTCATTAACGACTTGCTGTGACCTAACTAGCGATCATATGAGAGAGCAAACTTGGCTCCAGCAATATGCTTCTAGCATTTCCAAAAGGCAATTCAAAATCCGTTTCCCAACCGGAAATTCAATACGTTGAGAACAAATCAATGTAATCATTCTTACTAATCATGAATTCATTTCAATAGTTCACTGAAGGGATCGGCCTAGAGATGTGTTTTTTTTAAATACTGGCCCAGAGATGTGTTTCACTCTCTCGAAAGCATAGTTTTTGCCTTACTTCATTCACTGTTCTTGTTGCGTTGATTGCTTTAAGAACCACACAATTAGCTGTTTTCAATCTACGACAACCGAATGGGTCGTGCACTTAGAAAAATAACAACACGGAACTAAAACTAAAACGAAACGTTTAACCACGTTTACTGAACACATACGCGTATTTAACACGCCGTTAAATGAACAAATACTGATTACAATAGCTATACGATCACAAGCTAAATTCATGATGTATGATACTACCAATTGTTTCCACGTTCACATCGACTAGGATTGCATTAATCGCATAAACATTATAAATCCATAATCGATGCTATTATGTAAAATACGTCATTCAAATGAGCCGAGGTGTTTGAGGTGTAAATCAGATGAAAGTAAGCAGTGGGATAGCGTAAATGCATCATCGATTGGAGGGGGTGAATAATTTCACATGCAAACCAGAAAGTGACAATCAATCGAGTTAACCATTCTTCAATTATGTGAATGCAACTAAATAATTATCCCAAATTCATTGTAGTTTCCAGTTGTAGAACGGGTTTTCGACAAATTTGAAGCACTTTCAGTGATCAAATGAGTAAATAAACTGCGCATTTCTGAGCTGCATTGCACCGGAACACAATAGAATGAGTGACTGCAATTAAACTGCAATTGAACTGCCATTAATGGCTAGGTTGATTGAAGCTTTTTTTTGAAAGAATTCATTATCAGCAAAAAAAACTTCGTGAAGTCAGGAATAAAATTAATAGCAAATGTGGATGAATCCTCAAATCCATGTTAACTGCAAGTCGTGAAAACATAAATCTTGCTATTTTATCGAGGATGATCAAAATACTGGGCGATAACCTGATTCGTAGAAACATATTTCTGGTTTTCTGCTGAAAAGATAGATGAGAAAATTTTTAAAAAAAAGTTCGTTATATGGCAAATTAGAAACGCAAGGCAATAACCCAGTGTGACTGTGTGTGAAAATAGGATGAAAATATTCACAGGAAGAATTGTGAATTTACAAATCCAAATTTATAAAGAATTGAAATGTTGAATAAAAGATTTCTGTATGAAAGAATTCAAAAGAGCATATGATGTAAGCAAATTTCATTGAATGAAAAGTTCCTTTGAAACTTAATAGAATTCACCCTTACTGTACGATGCATGCGTACAATAGAGGTGAGTGACACTTTCAGATGGGAACGAAGAAAACACAACAATTATCATTTCAAGCGTGTCCTTCACAATATGGAAATGAACAATCACAACTGAGGGATTCAATTTTTTCGAAACAATCACAAATAACAAATTGAATTGAATACATCGAATCTAGGTCATTGAGCGAAATGAGAACAATAAAAGAAATAAATGATTTTAAAAAAATTTGACAGGGAATATCGCCGCAATAAGGGACTCCAAGCGATCTTGGACTGTAAATGATGACTTCTGCTGACACGAGATGAAATTTTTCACCTGTATCATTCATCGTTAGGAAATCAGTTGAATGAATTCAGATTGATCAAGTTTTCGTAAAAATATTGGTGTTTTATCGACAGCCGTTTGTTATGGCTTCACATGTGCTTAAGCCTGCATAAACAGTTATTTGTTGCTGTTGGCATTGATGAACGGCGTAAACATCCGAAAAATCAATCTGATCTAATGCATGCTAACTGAACAAACACCAACCATACCATTGGAGGGTATCTAATTGCTTGCGCTCAACTAACTATCCCTTTGTATTGATCTGTTTGTAAAATGTCGGAATCAATCTGTATAAACTGAAGTTATCCTTACATAAATCTGTATTTGGATATGCGATGAAACGATGAGCATATTTCCTATGAAGTTTCACGCAAAGGTCTCTTTATCTATGAGTTTATGAAACTTTACCAATGGTTTTATCAATCAAAATTCAAAAAAAAACTTTTTAAAGGTTCTCACAATGGAATAAAGCAGACACCTCGTTAAAAATCTCGCGAATATCCTTGATGTACCCTTGATGTGGAACACGCATCGCCCATGTGAACATCAACCATGAATATTTTCTGATGTATCACATATGAATCTTTTATCGAGATAAACGTGGATGAACTATGAGTCAACAGATCGCAAGTCATTCATCGGATGACAGTGCAACTGAATTTGAAGGACATGTGGAATGGCAATAAAGTCGTGGTGACTAAGTGCAACCTATCGAAATCGTCATAGTGTATGAGCCAGCGTTGAGTTTGCTTAATGCATGGGAACAACGATACAAAATGTGATCGATGAATAGAATATTCTACTGAATTGCACCATTTGCTTTCTTCGTTTATCGCCTATCAGATGCCAACCCTATCTGTTGGCATCTAAGAGAGATGTATGATGTGTTTGATGTGAATGGAATATTGCATGTGCTGTTAGACTATCATATTACGGTTTTGTGTTTTCATCATATTATTCAGTGCTGTTACAAATAAAAGGCCGGAAAAAACATCGTTTTATTCAGATGATACACACAATCAAAATCAATTCATGATTTATTAAAGAATATTTGATTTCATTAATATAATGAAATCAAATCTATCGAATCGAACCAGTGATGGTGAAATGGTACAATGATAAACACTTTTGCTGTTAAGGGGCGCCACTGCACACATGTGCTCAGGTTACCGCTTAGCTATACGTGTATCTAGGCAATTCGAAGACAAATCAGGAATATGCTTAAGTTTAGACTTACGCTTAACTGAGTGATGAGGCTAACACATACGCTTCGGCTTATGTCTGAAGCGTATGCCCACACCGCCATCAGTGATGGCGCGGTGGCGCCCGTCAACAGCAAAAATACCGAATAATGATCTAACGAGAAATTATTTACATTATTAAAATGCTATGATTATCTATGATCAAAATGATTAGATCGATAGGAGAACGTGATTGAGCAAGCACCATTCAACGTTTGTGCAAAACGGTTTATGAAACCGTATCGAAAATACAATCTATTCGGATTCTTCTCGTTACTCTATTCAATTCCCATCGAATTTGTTCCACTCGAACAATTTCTGAAATTAAAAAAAGTGCATCATGACAGCTCTCACTTTTCAGCTTTCAACTGGTTGAAACTTTTTCAGAATGTTTTCAACGAAAAAATGTTGGATTTTGAAAGTACTCGCAGAGCAAAGAACGGCACAAGACGAGAATTTCTCATTGTAAGCATGAGATCAGTTCCACACTGCTAAATTCTTTGTTCTTTGCACTGAGGTGTTCCCAATTTCAATAAATTTCTAACAAGTGTCTTCAATAAATTGGATCGCTGAACTCACAAATAACCGCAGCGGCATTTCTGTTGGTATATATACTTATGTCTTCGATATGCGTGACACTAATTTTGCTTATGTCTTTCATGTACGCGAATAATGTAGCGGGCCACAATTATGATTAAATCGTGTGTACGACATACGAAAGACATGTCGTAGAGCCATTTTATGTGCGAAATGTTTGCGAGACATATAGAAGACATGTCGCCAGAATTTTCAGTGTTGTCTTGGGATTACCCAAAGCTCTGTCGTTACGTAATAAAATCGAAACAGTTTCCTCGCAACTCACCGCTCTTATCGCCGCACTACGCTCCATTGATCAGCTCCAAAATGCTCGTTCGCAAGCCCGCAATCAGCCCGAACAAACCCATCGTTATCAACAACACATTTGCAATCACCTTCCTAGCGATCCTCCATTTGCTCGCTTTTGTGTGAATCAAACACGGTAAAAATGTTACCGTGTCCAAAGTGGCCGGTATAACGAAAGCCAGCAGCATACTTGAGCAAATACCGACCAATGGGATGATCGTCTCAAGTCGTGGAACTGCCAGTGCAACGATCACTGCAAAACGTTTCATATGAATTCATCTCAAGTCTCTACTCCTTGAAAGCTTTATTCTATCGGCACTTTCAAGCAGCACATGATACTAGAGTTTGGAAAGCTAAACGTGAACACGTGCAGCTACATTAGGATCTTTTTTTTTCAGAAACAGTCCATTGTGAATTTTGCTGGAAATTGAATTCTGTCCCAGCTAGCAAAAATAAGAGGAGGGTTCAATTCGGATTTTGTTGATAGGAATATGTAAATGCTTGCTTTAGAATTGAAAAGTTTTAAGGAATGAAAAATACATGAGAATAATCCAATCGAATGCGATCAGAATAAGCCTATTTTTGCAAAATAACAGTGTAACTAACTTGCGATCGTAACCAACAGCGACCTGAACGCATAGTTGCCGATAACAACACATTTCTTGCTCGATGAGCAAATACTCAACTTCACTATATTGTCTTTCACAACCGGCCATAACATATCAATGATAACGTATTCTTGGATAACGAATCCAACATAGATGACCACAACTAACATCACTTTGACGAGTGTATACAATCTGCAAGCATCACAATCACCGTTGGGTTGCTAGGCTGCAACTCTAATTTTTTGACAAATTTCGATAATCTCGTATTAGTATCAATGTAGCCACCCTTTGCAAACTATCTGTTTCATTCATCTTTTAAGCATACCCATTTTCCAACTCATACGTCTCACTTCAACAGAGATTTACTGTGCTCTAAATGGCTCTTGATATCATGAAGTAGCGGTGTAAGTGACAGGGATAGTTGGATGCATGAGCGAGATAGTGGAAACGGAATCATTTTCGATGCAAATATTCGAAAGAACATGTTTGATAGCGGATAAGCAGTCTCTTCTCATCAGCATTCTAGATAAGAACTCTTAAAATGATTGCGGCATTGTAGCTGAGTCTCAGAATCTGCTATCGATAGATCATTCAGAAGAAATTAACATTTAGTGAACTGGATTAGTTTCCTGCAGAAGCGAAGCAAAGTCTGAAATTAAAGACCACTCGATACAGTAGACAATCACTTACGGAGATGATGGAAGGTTCAGTGTAATACTGCCCTCAACACTTGTACCGTAGGTAACGTAACCAAAGAATCCAGACGCCGCGTACACAATTGTTACCAATGACATGCCCGTTGAGAGGACACCAGTGAATCCTGTCATATCTTCTGGGTGTTTAAGACCATTTTCCATCGGAAGCACCTGAAGAAGAGGTATGGTAAGTATATATGGTAAGATTAAAAGTTGAGTAGAAGTAGTTCGTCGGGGATCCCGACGGGGAACGCGGGGAGCGTTCCCCCGCCCGCGCAATTTGCTCCCCGACTTTTTGGCGGAGACCCTCCCGTCCGTTTTTCTCCCCGCGGGATCCCCTCCCTCCGTGCGAAAAACTGCTCTCCAACGAACGCACACTACTTCAAACTGTTCAATACCATCAGCTCTTATTATTCTCTGGCAATCGTGCAACTAGAAAGTCAGGTCAATTGATGCTTTCGAAATCCCGCATGAATTGAATGTGCACTCACAATGGCTTGGCCTTCAAACGAATACAATATTGCTCCGGCCGCAGTTGCTAAACTGTCAAAATCTGTTATCCATGGCAGTGTGCTCGTGACGTGTTCCGACCGCAGTAAATCCTGAAAATTCTCATTAGCAACTTCAATTATCGACTGATTATCATCCCCGATTACCACGAAAACGTTTCTTCCTACCAACTGATAAATATCAAGTTCGTCAATGAAACTAGATCGTCAAAGCCATTCGTTTAATCGAATGATCGTATGTGTTACCTGGAAAATGATAACGAAAGAGGTAAGCATGAGGATATTGGCGATCCAACTGAACACGGCGATCACTCGCAATGTTCGAATATAATTGATCAGTACAAGAGGTACGAACACTATGAACATATAGACTGATGTTCTCAGCTGGCATTCTGGCCATATCGTCTCGACAATCTGGAATTTACAAAATTAAAGTACATTGAGTCATTCTGAAACGGTAATCTTGTTATTTTCCATCGAATTGTAAATATTGGTGCACCCCATCCTTATCCTCATAATCAGTAGACTTTTTTTAGCTGATATGAGGTACATCGCCGAGGAAGTTATCTTATACGTTTTATCGTTGATTCGTTGTGCAAATATGGATTGTTATCTTTTAAAATACCGGCATTTGCCTTTCAAAATACTTGCATTTAAAAGAAATGCACTACCTCTTTAACATGAAGTGCCATGAAGATATAGAAAACACTCAGAACACCCATTTGCAATATGATAATCATTGTGTTCGTGAAAATCCTGAAATCAGCTCGAGTTATCATTAGAAATCTTAATTTTCACTCGGTACATTATGAATGTATAGTTGATGAAGTTCGAAAACGAATTGATGCGCTGTGTCATTATCTCTTGAATAATTCTTTCAAAACTGATTTCAATGTTTCCCATAATTATTATGAATTCATTGATCGTGAGTGCTTTTGAGTTTTTATGTTTAGTCAATGAAAACAAAGGTTTTTGAAGTGATGTAAACTTTTTGAAGTTATTGGAAACATTATGTAAAGTGTCAGTTACATGCAAGATTATTTGATTTGTATTGAAATCTATGCAGTAGATAAATTTGATTTGATACGCAGTGAAGCGCTGCCCATTGTCTGATCATAGTATTCATGCAGACCTCTCAATCGGTATCATATTATATCGAACGTTACGTTTCAAAATTGCGAGCAATTATTGCGATCTGCATGAATAGTTTTTGGTATAAAAAAGTCCATTTCCTTTCAAGCTTTGGGCATATTTTATTTCCTGATGATGGAATGCTATCAAATGATGAAATGAATGCTCCATAATGGAGTGATGGAACTCTTCCGATTGAATGCTCCATTTGCGCAACCCATCGATCACCAGATCTTCCCGGATTATGTTTTTTTCCAGAATTTTTTAATTCATTTCACTTTGGCTCATTTTGTGGTGTTGACTTGAAACTGACATACTTTGCTTTTCGTTTATGCGGTCGCAGTATTGGAAAACTATTGCCGAACGCTTCGTATGCGACACCACCGTAGTCCAAATGCATATCACCTTTGCTGCAAATGACAAGATGTTAGGAGATGTAATGAATGAACTGAACAAGTGTATTCTTATTGTTGATTGTTGCAGTTTGATCACGCTTCTTATCATTCTAAGCAGGGTTACACCCTTATGTGGCAAGCGCTGATTCCTCTAGTGTAGCTACCAGCGATCTATGCTTCAGCCTAGAACAAAATTTCATGCACTTGTCTCCCATGTGAATGAGAAATGTTTCGCACGTAACTAAACGCTTCCATCATTAGCAAATATTTTCTGATCAGAATTCGCTTGAGCACAGAACGCTTGAACGACCGCGCATGCACTTATTGATAAGATACGGTTACTATTTTAAATCGTGCACCATCTATACCAGTGGTCCCCATAGGGAGGAAAATTGCCCATTTTTTGGAAATTCGGGAGCATCAAGGGGTAATAGAGGAGACTGGGAAATTAGTTATGCGTAGAAATAGTAAATTATTGTATCGAGAAGGGGGTAGGGTACAATCACAGCCTGCACGACCATGGAAGGAGGTGATGCAGCACTCAAGTACGGGAACCACTGATCTATGCAATAATGTTCGGAGATATGAGATCAGCGGCTATCCATATAATCTGTTCACGTATATTTCTCATTTCCCATGCCAGTTTTGCAGATATTCGCACCCAAAAACTACAATGTATATATTTTTGCTAGTGCATTCAGATGTGGTGACACTCAAAAGCGTTATGATATGCTGTCA